AAGGCGGTGCATTAACAGCAGTGAAAATAGATGCAGTGTTCTAAACTAGTGTGTGAAAGGGGAACAATTTACAGTATCAATACTGATGTGATGAGTAACGTTAGCCACGAACGTTCTCGATGTATGCTCTGAGAAGCGTAACTCAGTTCATGTTATCAGTTAAGAGCTAGCGTTATTTAGTGTGTCTCCCGTCAGCGTATTGGGGTTATCACTTGAGCGCGAAACGCGATAACTTGTCGCCGTCTGCTTGTTCACTAAGTGAAAAAAAAAAAGTTAACCAAAAAGTTAAACTTGATAGGATTGTGTAGAGACTTAAACAGAACCTAGCGGATCTTAGCCTAGGATACAGTAAAAACTCGACAAAAATCTGCATTTTCCAAACGTTTCAAGAACAGAATCTTACATCAATGGTTATTAGCACAAATTCATGCTATTTGCTTGGAGGTTTTGGTTTTTGCGCTTTCTCAATTCAGCGGACCCGACTATCTCGTAGCCTGGAACAGGCTAGCATGTGCAGACGATCGATGAACTTAGACTAACACAATCTGCTAGCAACCCATTTTTTAACTCATGGATTTGATTCCCAGTGCTGAATGAACTAGCCATGTGGCAGCAACAGGCTGCAGCAAAACTAGCGAGAGTATCTCCGTTAAATGTCGGTTAATTTGGTGACCATTTTAAGCAGTTATCAATATATATATATAAAAGCGCGACATGTTTGACTTTATTGACAAGTTTTATTATATTCGAAATTTGCATGTGACATGTCAAGCTTTCAAAAATACTTGCTTTAACTAAACTAAGCTTTTAGACTTTGCGTTTTGCAAAAGTTGAAAACATAACTTGTCATTCAATCTTTTCCTACATCGTACGTCCAGTGATCATCTATACACTGTGTCTTGAGTTTTCAGATTTGTCTTATGAAGGGGTGAAATTCTGTTGTTATGCACTTAGCAAAGTTCCACAAAATGCAGAACATATCCCTCACCTAAACGCGTTTAGTCACTATATACTAAGCAAGCTCTTTTGGTGCTCAGGTTCCCTCAAGCCGTTAACAGTAGCTCTGAGTTTAATTCGCTTCTCTGTTGCAAAAGCGTCATTTAGTCCAAAGGAAATTGATCGTCCCGGACATACAGACTAAAACCATGAAACTCGAGTGTACTCAGACCCAGCCTGTACTGATTGAAAAACAGACAGATAATTTAAACTTACACTTGACATCTAGCGTAGCAGCATCAGAAGTAACATTCCCCTCACTGTTGTTTGCTACACATCGGTATTCTCCGCTATCAGCTCTGCTTATATTCGTTATCGTCAACTCTCTACTTTCTGCTCCAAGACTTATTCGGGGAACACTGTTATTTAATACGGATCCATTTCTAGTCCATATTATTGTCGGTACAGGAATTCCACTGGCGTTACAAGATAACGTCACATTATCACCTTCAGTTACTGGTCCACTCTGAGGTTGTGTCGTAATCAGAGGCGCAACTATAATCAAAAAACAAAATTAAAAAAAAAAAACACGAGATATAGGAGTAACGTGTGGAGTAACGTGTTGTTTGGAGTAAATTTTANGGGGGGGGGGTGGGGGGGTAGTCAGGTGACCATTGAGAAAATTAAACAGGACCAATCGCAAAATTTAGTGCTTAGATAGCCTGCGACAAATACCTAAACTCGAAGGCTACGTTGCCTTCTGACGCTACAGAATAACAGAAACATCACAAAAGGCTGGGGATAAAATGTGAATGTATGAATATCACATATTTGAATTGCGGGATGATGAAATAAACACATGAAGAGAAGATCATCACTAAGGGTACGGAAAAACGGGCAACAAAAAACGAGCAACTTTTTTTGCAACATTGCCGTGCAAAAGGAGTTGAATGACGATGTTGCGCGTTTTACCACCCTGCCATAAAACCTGTCTTACAACAAACCAGGTGGTTAACAGGTTTGAACATGGGTGGTAAAACGCGGAACATTTCATCGCTATTCAACTCATTTTGCAGCAATGTAGCGAAACAAGTTGCTCGTTTTTTGTTGCCCGTTTTTCCGTACCTTAATTTCACGACCAGTTTAATGACCAGCTCCCAGTTGGCTTGCTGGCTCAAAATGATTGGTTAGAGCGCTGCACCAGAATCGTACAGATGAGGTCAACGGTTCGAATCCCGGCAAGCCTGAGATTTTTCAGGCTTTCTTTTCGCAGCTGTATAATTTGTGTATTTAACAGTGATTATTATTCATTCAAAATATTTCCCCAATTCTGACTGGCTAAAAGCACACGCATAATTCACCATAACCAGTTACTGATGACCAAATTTGTAAGAATTTTGTGTTTAACGAGGAAATGACGTCAAAAATGCAGCCCTCTAAAGGTTAATGCACCGTTAACCGAGAAGACCTAGGGACGAGATTGAGTTGTTTTCGTTGTAAAAACTAAAATGGCGGACACTTCACTCGTTTCAAGAGTAAAAACTACAGCTGGAACTAGGCGAGAAATAATGAAATAATGGCTAAAAACATAGCAAAAACAAGAAGACAGCTCGGAGGGCGACATCTGCTATTTGGAGAATATTTGCGGAGCTGGACAAACCTAAACGTAAACTATCGAAGATAAACTTAACATCGATGCAGGTAAGCTTGTTTTAGCTATGTTTTTAAACTAGGAATTATTTTGAATGAATAATAAAACAATTTTTGAATTCGGCTTTCGTATCATATGAAGAATTATGGAGATCTCGGAGGGTGTTATCCGCCTCGGCCGATAACACCCTCCTCGATATCCATAATTCTTCATAAGATACTCGGCCTCATTCATTAATTGTTAATTATCTTTTCTGCAGTTAAATGCTGGGGATAACGATGCGGTGGAGTAGCATCCAATCCAGGGTGGAGTAGTAGTAGAATTAGCACTACTTGCTCTGTACTACTTAAACCAGGATAGGCTTCGGCCATATGAGAAAATAACTTAGACCGCGGTTTAGGAAATCTTTGAACCTCCAGATCTCTTTTTTATTGGGCTATTTTAAGAAGACAAATGCTTTTCTAGTCAACGCTTTATGCTTTCATGAAAATTTTCATGATAGCTGGAGTTGACACAAAACCGTTCGCCAAACTGAAAATGGCTTAGAACGGGGTTTGTCAAACACAGGCTAAACTAGTCCGTTTAAATAACTGGCCCAATGTTTAAAGTTGATGCGTCTTCTACATAAGACAAGACAGGAACTCAATAGTTTACCCCCACACACAGAAAAAAAGAGAGCAAAATACAATACTTCTTAGGTATTAAAGGTATAAAGCCACCTAGAAAATAGCTAGAAAGTTAATCTAGCTAGAGGGCCTTACATATATATACTATTTCAATACATAAAAGAGGTTGTTACATGGAGGCAGCACATATAACTCCAAACTAAAGTCGTTTAATGTGAAAACTATCTACAAACAAAATAAAACTATTCAGCTTAGTGAATAATATTTATCTTGCAAAAGCCTGAAGAAACACGATCTTTTTTCGTACTAGAAGACACTCATCCACTCGTTCCGTTTCCACTTTAAAAAGTGTTATAACCTTTCAATCATCAATCGTTTCAATCTGTGGTAGCGCCTTATGATTGCTAGCGCTAAAGGAATTTAAGCTGCATTTGGAAGACTTAAATTTCTCGAGTGTATAAAATGAGCTATTGAGCTATAGCTTATGAACTGTTCCCGAAAAAGTTGGTAAATAGACTAGAGCTAATCAATTTTCCACCCCTGTCATTTAATTTACACCATTATTATTCATTCAAAATATTTCTCCGTTTCAGATTGGCGAAAAGCACACGCATAATTCACCATAAAGAGCTACTGTTAACCAAATTTGGAAAGATTTTTGTCATATTGAACCGATGACGTCAAAAGTGCAGCCAAAGTTGCAGATTATTGAACCGTTGACCGAGAAAACCTGGGCAGGAGGTTAAGTTGTTTTGGTAGTGGACCAAAATGGCTGAAAAGTCGGCGAAACATTTGACTCGGTTCTCGGCGAAGTACTGTCTAAAATCATAGCAAAAACAGCAAGAAGACACCTTGACGGACGACATCTGCTATTCAGAGTATATTTGCAGACCTGAACAGACCTTCATCTCCTAACCTTGCCGATAAAGATGGCTATCAATATGAACTTAACATCGACCAAGGTAAGCACGTTTTAGCTTGTTTTTAAAATTGTTATTATTGTGAATGAATGATAAAAAAATGATTGAATTCGGCTTTCGTAGGATACGAAGAATTCTACAGATCTCGGAGGGTGTTATCGGCCTCGGTGGATAACACTCTCCTCGATCTGCAGAATTCTTCATATCCTACTCAGCCTCATTCAATAATTGCTAATTATACCATGTATGAAGCGTGATACGGCTCAGACCCTAGCACAATATTTAGTTTGATATATTAATGGTAAACGAACAAGGCCGCCAGAAGCGGTCTGCATAACAAGCGGATTTGCCTTTTACCAACTGCAGTTGTGAACAATTAAATGACTGTAAGATCACACAAATGGAAAAAATAAAATCAGTGCATGGGCAGTGGGTGACTACAGAATTGCTTCTTTCTACAGTGGTACATGAAAAGTTCCGAAGTTCTACCAGAGTACTCTTAGATCAAAAGTGCTTTTAACTAAAACTTGAATTTTTAAACTGGAATTCAACAAGCCTTGACAAAAACGCAACACACTTATCAGAACAATTCATCACTTCGGCATATTATACTCAGAGTTAGCTGAGCTCCACTAACCTTCTTGAGAATAGGGAACAGCAATTAACAACAACAGTAGTCTTTTAACACTCATTGTGAGACCCGCAGTGCTAATACTTTGTTTCCTTCATAAAACACAGAAGTGTTGGGCTTGTAGCTAGCTAGAAATTTTAATAGACGTATAGCTAAAGGAAAGAATGGAACAATTTTCTTGTAGGCGGCAAGGGAAGTGTTACGAAATGATACTCGGTCACCGCCAAGAATGTGGATACTAGAACACCGTAACCGGTAGCTCAAACGTACGTGAATACCTTACGGGAACGTGACGAAAAATATTCCTCGATTTTTCTGCCTCGGCCACGATATGGGCCGGTGTCTCAAGTGCAACTATTACGTAAATCAATTTAGTCCTACGATAGTTATCATCATCAAATCTCAGTTATTCTATCGCAGTAGCAGTGCTTGATCATATACTGATCACAAACAAAAAAAGCACTGGGAAGGAGAGGGAAAATTGCATTATAGAGCTAACCACTACAAATCTTTCCCAGGGCTATGCATATTCGATATTGTTGCAACAGTTTTACAAACAAGCCATCCAAACGACCTTCTAGTGCACACAAAATCTATTTTCTTTAGCTAGTATATTCACTCAAACAAGAGTCCACAATCCAATAAGCGCCCTCCCCTGAATGAGGGGCCACCCTCGATCAAACCAGCTGAAACAGGCAACCCAACCCGAGTAAGCGTCCCCCCTCCCCATCCCCCCTCACTTCCAAAAATAGTAAGGTTATCACTAAGAAAAAATGATGTTTTGTTCTCACTTTATAATTATATTGTTTGTGACTAAAATGGAATCAATGAAGGGAAACAGTTTAGCCTATGGCTGTCACTGTACCTATGTTTTTGTGGAGTACTAAAAGCTGTGCATTGTTCAGACGATAGACGTAAACTTTTTTTTTCTTTGTTGGAAGTTACCTTGTAGCGGCCAACTCGATAAAGCGCCTCCTTTGAATGAGTGCCTGGTGTCTAGGCGTTTCTTGGAGGAAATAAGCAATCGAAAATTTACATATATGATATCGGTGATCAATATGTCAATACTGAGACTTTTGTAATATACATACAGCGTTTTTACCGATAAGCCACAATGACATTCCACACGCATCACAAAATGGATTGACAACGTAACAGCTCAGGATTACGGCTCCATTCGTTCATTAAAACGTAATCCATACAATAGCATTATAAAAGCAAAATTAAGCAAGCCCTTCTACAAAATTAAGACACGGCACCTCTGAGATTGCGAAGTAATTTTCCTAAATCCAAAAAATAGATTATGTGGCCCTTGTAACATAGAAAAGGGTAACGCTGGTAAAAAGACTGGCGTTAGAAAGCTAGCTACTTTTTAAAAAGCGATATTGAATAAAATCAGCTGATTATAGTATAAAGGAATCGGTATGCATTCCTTCTTCGGTGTCTTTTTTACAAGGATCAGATCGAATTCTTCTTGACAGAAAATCTGAAACCCCAAAAATGCGAAACAAATAATAGATAGTAATAAAACTAAGCGATAAATAAAGTAGCCACTGTTTAACAAGTTAAGAATACGTGTTGATTTTTAAAATGTATTTCACGCAGCTACCCAAGCTTGACTTTATGACCTCACTGGCTAATGAGTAAAGTATGAAGAGAATTTATCGGTGTTTTTTTGGTTTTACGTACAATATGTAGAAGTTCACAGTTGAAAAACGGTCTCATGGTCAATTGGATAATATGAGGCCCAAAACTGAAGAAACTTACTCAAGGTTTTGCTCTAAGTGCCTGTAAAGATGTGAGCAATCTTTGGTCCTGCTCTAACAGGTCTAAGACGTAGCCTGTTTAAATTTCATTTGCGCGTAAGAAATCAATTTGAAACTCAAATGGACAAACCAAAAGTTAACAGTTTTACCCCATGCCCTTAATTCTGAGAGTTTTCAAAAGCTTGAAGCTCAACCGGAAACGGTGAGCAAAGTTATTTAAAGGACAATCTCTCCACTGAGTAAATATTCATTGTTGACGCCTTTAAATCTACTTTTATGGTAAATAAAACAGCTGATGTAGTGCGGTCATATTTGGCCCATGACGTGCGACCAGTACCCAACTGACACTAACATTAGTGGCAAGAAGCGCTTTGAGAGGATTTAAATGAACGCTAGTATTGTTCGATGATTGCAAATAATGCTGAAATTTGTCCGAAATTGCAGACCTACATAACTACGTAACTGCGTAGGAAAAAATGCAGCATACGGGTTCTCTCATAGACGAAACATTCCTATGGACCCCGGAAGTTTTTTAAAAAAACTGTTAATCTTTGCAGCGCTCGAAGCAAATCAAATAACTTTACCCTATAATTCAGCTGATAATTTTGTGATTGATTCATTTAAACAGGAAAAATATCGTTATCGTGAAAGAAATCGTAAATTTAGAAACTGGCATGTACTGGGTTTGACTCCCTCCGGCTGTCAATCTCAAAACATACAACAAAGCACTTACAAAATGCAGCTTACCTGAAGCCTTTATAAACGGTAAAGCGGTTAGTAAAAGCAGCAAACGCTTAAAGACCATCTTTTCATGCTAAAGGACAGATTTCGTCTCTCAAATGCTAAAAGGTTTTCGACAAATTATCGTGATTGAAGAACGGAAACAAAAAGTGATTAATTTGAAACAGTGCATGAAATTCATGCAATTCAAATTCGGACATTTTTGGCAACCAATGATAAAAGGGTACAAAAGAACGGTCAAGCATAAACTAAAGAAAATTATACCAACAGAAAACGTCATTTGTCAGTTCTTCATCCGTAGTACAAACTATCAAATAAGTTTAAACAGCAGAGAACAGAGGACACACTGACCGGGTTTTCGATGGATTTTAACACTGATGATAGATTTCAGGGGCACCCAACGACAATTTTCGGAAGAATATCTGTTCGGAAGACGATTTGAGATCTAGAATTTTCGAAACATCTGTTGTAAGATTTCTTGCTTGCCTGCTTCTCCTAGGATTTTCGAGCATCCAAAAAATGGTATATTTGCCTATTTTTAACGGATTTTTACCCTAAAAAGGTCATCTAGAATTTTCGGAAGCCTTTTTTCTGGCTGAAATTTTCGAAAAGGTAAGTTTTGATCCCTATAATTTTCGGGTCACTAAACTTTCAGCTAGGAAATCCGAACAGATGAAAAATTTTTAGGGGATAAAAATATGCCTATATCTACGGTTTAAATACTAAAATACGTTTAACAATGCAATGTTAAAGTGGTTTTAGACTATATTTTCGTTGGGTGCCCCTGAGATTTACCATGTAGTATGTAGTTTGCGCAAGCTCAAAAGAGAAGCTTGAGTTTAAAAGCAAGGAGTTAAGAGCGTTGAAACAGATCATAGAAGAAAGAGTCATGCAAACTGCAGTTTTTATAATGCTTATAAACTGTTATTAAATCCTTCTACGCTGTAAGATAAACCATAATAGACAAACTAAAAGGGAATTTTGAGAATAATACATTGACATCGATCTTTATTTCAATTTGTTTATCTTGTTAAACGCTTCGTGAGGAAGCTATTTGAATGCACAATACCTTTCAGTTTTCAAAATAAAAATAGTAAAATATAAAAGACATAATTTATTTTTTTGTAAACTTTAGTACCAACACATCCTGTTTTAGTTAATCCTCCAACACAACTCTAATTGACAGGAGCTCCGGTCATTTGCATTTACATGGCACAACGAGTAAGTCCTCTACTAAGAAAAAAGGGTAGCTTCACGCGTGGCAAAATTATTTGTTAATCAAAATATGAATAGAATTTTAATAAAACATTTAGGATGACAATTGTATTTGTCTTGCATTGCCAGCGAAAAGGATGGCCCTACATTTTACATGTTCGGCTCATGTGAAGTATGGCTTACGTACTTTAGTCTTGTCTTTTTTCTTTATTGCAAACGTTCTCGATAACATGATACTTACAAAAGCGCTCTTTCCTCAAAAAAACGTCCTCGAGTAATTCGCCTCGATAATCACGACGAATGATCACCTTCCGCTCCACCCCCCCTACCCCCCCCCCTCCCCATCCCTTCAAAAAAAAAACGGAAGCAGGCGTGACAAATAAAGCCCAAGCCATGACGTGTTATCGATACTTTCGGGTAGGTTAAGTCGTTGTCGACAAACAAGGAAGTGGAGTAAGAATTCCCTTTTTTGTTCGAATGTTGAACAGTTGGCGATATCCACAAAAAATGAGTTCCTTTCTCAATAAAACCCCGACATGAATCCTTCACCAAAAATGGGAAAATCTTTCTGAAGGAGCCAAAATATGTCGAAAGGGACTGCGTCACGGCACTCAAGGAGATTACTTTATTACATTTTCAACAGTGAATTGAAAATAATATATTAAATGGCTCATATTTAGTCGGTCACTCGCTATGAAATGTAGCCTGCGAACAGCAGACGCATTTCCGGTCGTCGCTTCTCTCCCTCCAAAAAAAATAGCTATTTTTCGGAGGGAGAGAAGCGACGACCGGAAATGCGTCTGCTGTTCACAGGCTATATGAAATGTAACGCTGGCGAAAAAAAAAATTCTAAAAGAAAATACCATTTCATGACCCGAACATATTTGTCCCGATTTTAAAATGTAAAAATGATTAATTTCACAGACTTTTGAATCAAGCTCTTGGTTAACAACAACATAATTATATAATTTGCAATAATTTGCTTGCCATCACTCCAGGATTATTTTTCATGGACTTTCTAGCCAACGAGCCAGCTCTCCATCAGATCGGGTGAGCTAAACGAACCTTACCCGTGGACTAGTGCCTCTTCTAACTTTATAGACTGAAAGACTAGCAGTCTGAAGTAGGCTGAATTTTCATGCATTTTGAATAATATGAACCTTGGACTTGGTGTAAGAGTCCGGGAGTGGATTCTCCGTAGCAGTTAACACATAGATGCCGGTACAAAAAATGCTTTGATGGCACAGCACCTCAAAAAACGACGCGAGACTTGTGCAAAACTGCATCATTAGAAATACAACTATTATTTTAGTCAAAAACTTGCATTTGACTTTGCGAAAGTCCAAAATGATTTGTAGAGAATCAAGACATGTTAACAAGAAGAACAATCCTGACTCGGCAGCTTTTTAAACTTTTGCAACTAAATTAGGAAAGAAAGTGTACTTGCTTCGAAACTGGTCGTTCGAATTATCATTCGAAAGTGTATTCCACTCTGTTTACTAACATCACATGCAGAACTCCTTCCTTCAGGAGACAAAAAATGAAGGGTGACAAAGAGATGCAGCCAAGTGTCAGTATGACAGCGGATTTCCTATTATCACCGAAAGAAGTTGTAAGGCTTTTGATATCTGTGGGACTAGCAAGGTTGTTCGTAAGAGGTTATAAAAGTAGAAAGAACCATGGCATGGAAGGGTCAGTATTTAATATGGGGCTATCGCAGGTATCGAAAGCGACCTTGTACGAAGTAAAAGCGTTGTGCCCACTGTGTGTTGGTGGCATGCAGTGCGGGGTGAAACCACTCTTTAGTATTAGGGAAGACTCATTCTCCCTTGCCTGCTATATACGATTTTCACGATCTTTGTTGTTTGGAAAAATTCATGCTTGATCAAATGAGACCTTATCAAAACAGAAGGTCAAAGGTATCTATTTACTCGTTACTAGTAAGGTTTGGCAATGAATTTTGCTCCGCTGTTTTAGACAACGACATTGATTACTATGGCAAAGAATTTCAAACGTTTTTACTTTGATTACGAGATCCGTAAAAAATGCGAATGACAAATCGCTAATAGTTTCCGTGATGGCTAATCTAAGGTGTAGTCGAAGACTGTGAGCCACAAGTTCCTTCCTCGAAGACCGCATGTAGTAGTTTCACAGCCAGGGATATCTGATTGTTTGAAAGGACAATTTTCTCATTGTATCATTGGTGTTCCATTCTTTGTTGTTATTTGAACGATCGATTTTAAAACAACGAAAATAATAAGATTGCTTTAACTACAATAAGTACTATTTGCGAAACACTTACCCTGACACGAGACGCTGAATATACAAACAAAACAGAAGACAAGGAGGTGCTGCACAGACGACATAATTCACAGGGTGTATACAGTGCTATCGACACCAGTCTTTCTTGTTTAACAGTGTCTCATCGTCACTTTCTTGATATAAAATTAGTAAAATTTCACGCGAGCGCTATGTTCGTTCGTCTCGACCTTCCGTTCAATGAATTGTAATCTGATGACAGGCCGAAAATCGTTTTTAGATGGTGTGCATGACGTAAGCGGGTAAACATTGACTAAACATCAAGTCACGCACACGTAAGTGTGGTTCTAGCAAATCCTTAGAATACAGCACTTATCTGTGGATCGTGGTTCATGAAATGAAAATATCAGCGTTGTAAAATGTTTACTGAAATATGACTTACAGCTGAGCAGCTGCCTAAGGAACCAGGATTGTTTCACAAAACTGTAACGTTTTTCACAAAGATTAAAGGAGCTCCATACGACCGGGAAACTGATCATCCTTTCTGAATTTTCCCTTTTATCATATTAAATGTAGTTGCAAAGAAATTTTAGAAAGTAATCTTAAACCGGTTATATATAAATATTAAACTAATATGAAAAAAAGTTCCTACTATTTTACTTACAGTGTACTGTTAACGTAGCTACCAAGGATGTCACGTTGTCAACTTTGTTGCTAGCTACGCATCTGTANGTGGTTCATGAAATGAAAATATCAGCGTTGTAAAATGTTTACTGAAATATGACTTACAGCTGAGCAGCTGCCTAAGGAACCAGGATTGTTTCACAAAACTGTAACGTTTTTCACAAAGATTAAAGGAGCTCCATACGACCGGGAAACTGATCATCCTTTCTGAATTTTCCCTTTTATCATATTAAATGTAGTTGCAAAGAAATTTTAGAAAGTAATCTTAAACCGGTTATATATAAATATTAAACTAATATGAAAAAAAGTTCCTACTATTTTACTTACAGTGTACTGTTAACGTAGCTACCAAGGATGTCACGTTGTCAACTTTGTTGCTAGCTACGCATCTGTATTCTCCACTGTCGATCCTGTTCACATTTGTTACGGTCAGTTGTTTGCTGTCTGCTGATAAAGTGATTCTAGGATTGGCGGTCGGATTTATAGCAATTCCATTTATGGTCCATGAGAGACTGGGCACAGGAACACCAGTTGCAACACAAGAAAAGGTCACATTAGATCCGTCATTTGTCGTCTGACTCTTTGGAGTTGTCATGAACTCCGGAGCAACTGTGAGAAGCAAAAAAGTACACTCTTAAGCCAAATGATTATTCATTGGCTCGTAAACCTTGATGCTTTAGTTATGTTCTAAAGGTGCGTTTGTTGTTTAACAATGTGTTATTGTTTTAATTCTAACTTCCATCAATGTTTTGCGTTTGAGTAGACGGACCATATTCTAGCATCCTTTCTTACATTGTACTGTTAGCTTAGCAGCATTGCATGTCACTGTGGTAACGTTGTTGCTAGCCACGCATCTGTATTCTCCATTGTCCGTCCTCTTCACATTTGTTACGGTCAGTTTTTGGCCGTCTGCTGTTGAACCGATTCTAGGATTGGCGGTCGGATTTATAGCAGTTCCATTTATGGTCCATGAGAGACTGGGCTCAGGAACACCACTTGCAATACACGAAAAGGTCACATTAGATCCTTCATTCGTCGTTTGACTCTTTGGATTTTTGAAGAACTCAGGAGCATCTATCATAAGTAAAACTTACTCTCTTTAGCCAAATCATTATTTAGGGGCTAGTAAAATATCATGCTGTACAGCTGTAGTTATGTTCTTTAGGTGTGTGTGTTTCTTAAGGAGTAATTGTTTTCATCGTGAGTTCTGTTTTAAATGTGTTGCGTTTAAGTAGATGGACCATTTCTTAGTATCCTTACATTGTACAGTTAACTTAGCTGCCATGGACGTCACGTTGCCAACTTTGTTGCTAGCTACGCATCTGTATTCTCCGCTGTCCGTCCTGTTCACAGTTGTTACGGTCAGTTGCTGGCCGTCTGCTGTTAAATTGATTCTCGGATTAGCAGTCACATTTATAGAGGTCCCATTTATAGTCCATGAGATCCTGGGCGAAGGAACACCACTTGCAATACACGAAAAGGTCACATTAGATCCTTCAATCGTCAATTGATTCTTTGGATATTCCATTAACTCAGGGGCAACTGTGGTAA